AAACTGCAGCCAAGAGCGGAATACAATACAAACCGAATTTTACTTTACGGATGTTCAAACCGGTGAACTTTGAAATTTTATCGTCAAAAAATGTGTCGGTTAATGCTACCGTCACGTAGGAGGGGTCTCGTTACGAATAACGACGGTTGTCGATCATGAACGACAAGCATCGTTAGTTAGCGACGTTCATCATGGGTACAGAATAGCTTTTAACGCTATCTATCGGTTAGTGCCGTTAACGACACCGACAATTGTCGCTAAGCGTGTACAGAATACGGCTGTAACGTCCGCCGCCAGTACTACGTCGCCGAACGTTTTTGCCTAACACGCTAGATGGCGCCATCCACCCTATTTCATGCTTTTACTGTCTTATAATATGATTTACTTCAATACTTTGGTTCTACGCTTTAAAATAATTTGTACTCAAGGGGAAAAGCAAAGAAACCCTTATCTATATTAATGTCCGACCTTATAACAAACAAATATCTTAATTTTCACGATCATTATATACGCGATCGTAAAACAATTCTAATATTTTACTCTCTTGTTCAGGGTAAATAAACCCTTCTTTTAATATAATAATAATATAGTAATCTATCATATAATCACATTTAATCACTCATGCTTAAGCATTTCTTTGCATTCACCCATATAGCGCTACGATATTGCCTTATTATTTCAAGATATACATAATCAACTTTCATATAATATTAAATTCATCCCCATAATATAATCTCTTAGTAAATATATTTGCGTAACATAGTTTAGTTGCGAGCGATCTTCTTTTCTTATTTTTGTAAAAAGAAGTCTCAACGGATTTATATAACTTTCTACAAGAATTCCGTTAAGATTTCACAATAGAAACAACATATGTACACCACATGGAAAGTCATAAACCCGGCTATTGTTTAACCCGCTTCAACGACCGGCATGGACTTTCCCTTTGGTCCTTTAGAAAAGTTAACAATCGACAGGAGACAGAAATTCATTTTTACATCATACCTTCTAGAACCTTCTAGAAGCTTTACTTATCATACGGCAAGAATTTCGTGCGA